CTATGGGCAGAGATCTCGGAAATTTCATCGGAGGCCTCGGCGCCGAGACGAAGCGCGCCGCCTCCAAGAAATCTCCGCCACTCCTGCCCGAAAAAAGACCGAGTGCAGGTCCCAACGTGCAAAGAAGCCGTGCAACCCTCTAGGGGTTTGGGATGAGAGTTTAGGTCCGATGTTTCTAGGCTGCTTGCACTCAAATCGTGATGCAAGCCCAAGCCGCAAGGCTGCACAGAGAGCGCACGTTTAAAGGCACATAGTGCGAAACTGCCTCAGGACCTTAAACTTAAACGCCCCCCCCCCCCCCCCCCCCCCCCCCCGCGATCGAAACTCGCCAAAACTGGTCCAGCAAGGACTCATCGAAGTAGAGAGTCTGGTGTCAACTGCTGCAGGTTCGGCACACACGGGGTTAGACTTGTCGAACGTCTGGCTGATTTTGCGGTGTTGGCAAACGTGGACGATTCCGACCCAACTGCAAATTGTCAGAGACGGTGATTTTGCGTTCGTTTACGCCAGAGCGGGAATAGGTTGGTGGCAGCTCCGAAAATCTGCTTACCTTTGCCAACCCAAGATTCTTCAAGATGTCTCTGCTCTTCTGGAAGTGGAGGAAGTGGAGTCGTCAAGAGTCCCGGACAGGAGCTGGGGCGCGCTGCAGCCTAGAGATTTGTAGTATAGACGTGATGATGCGAATCCACTACAGCGTTCCTTTCCCAGGCTGAACCTTCAGCTAGTGCAAGCTGTCTGACTCTGACACAGATTCCTCGCATTCCGGTGCTTGCAAGCCTCCGTGCGCAGGTGCCCCCATGAACTCCGCCTTGCTCAAGCCTTCACAGGCACATGAGTCCGGGGTTGATACGATTTAAGATCCCTCGGACCAGAAGCCATGGCTACTGCAGTGCCTCGGCCATCGCCAGCAGTGGTTCTCACTTCGGAGTCGCAGACTCGTGGCGTGGCGACATCTTGAGGGCTTTACTGAGCTGGCTGCGCGACTAAGGCGCAGATAATCGGTACGGTGATTGCCTTTGCATTGGGAATATATGCCGCCTACATGACTCAGATCAAAATAGTGGGAAGCGACCCGACCGCGCAGCTTGCCAGCACATCTGACGAGTTGCATCGAAGAGAGAGATCTCAAACTGCACAAACAAGGCCGAAAATGCAGAAGCTCTGTATGGCTGGAGACATGACCGCGCTCAAGGAGGCTGGGTTTCACGAGTATGAATCTGAGATGGGTGGCGGCTTCATCTGCATCGTCACTCAGCTTCCTGGCAAATTTCATGCTTCCTGGACTTCCGCACTAAGATTCTGGATTTTCTGAATGCTGAATGCAAACTGTCCCGGCAAGCCCTGCAAGGTGTAAGATGCACGTTCGCACGGGATTGCACATGGTAGGATTCTGTGGTCGGGGCTTGTTCCGTGTATCCGACCTACACCCCGAAATGCAAATCCTCTAGCCCCAAAGGCCTGAATAATCTCGACACCTCATGAGGTTTGTGCTTGCTTTGGTCAAAGAGCCTGCCGGCATCTTGGTTTGGGGTGCTGCTGGCATCCACCTCTTCCCCTTGATGCTCCTGGTGTACACAGAGGCCTGGCTTCAGCACAAAGTTCTTGAGCCTACTTAGGGATGACGTTGAAGATTGAGGCCTTGAGCTCGAGAGGCAGCTGCTTCGGTTCAGACCTCGCCAACAAGCCACAAGATGAGAGAGAATGCGCGAGCGAGCCAGGGCTGCCGCGGCTAAGGGCTTCATTCGTAGCAACAGCCTTTGACACAAAGCGTCGTGGCATGTGACGTTGCTTTTCGCATTAAGCAAACATACGTGTAAGCGAAGCACACGCGCGCGCGCGCGCGTTTTGAACGACTCCTAAACTCACCGCGCAGCCCAAAAGCCCAGATTTGATGACAACCAAGCGGCCCGAAACGGTCGGCTTGAAGCCGCCCGTTTTGCATTTTGAAGTGTGTGCATGCTGAAGACTTGCATAGTTTAGCTCCGATACCCTTCATGGAAGGAGGAATGGCAGCAAAATCCCAACAATCCTAAGCCCTAAAGAGGCCCTAAACTGCCCTAAAGGCCCTACAGGCCGTACTCTGCCCCTTTGCTTCTTTCCGCTTTCTAGGCCGGGAGGCCTGGTGCCAAGTCTTTCGTCAACTGGCCCATCCTCACCTTCCTGCTGGGTCAGGTCTTCGGAGCCTTGCTACCGCAGACTTCAAGGATTCTTTTCGAGAGGTCAATCCTGCCCTAAGTATTCTGGCTATGTTAAGCACCTCTCCTGTTGTCGTGTTATCGGGAAGCATCGAGGAATCAGCTTCGCTTTCCCGTGCTTCTGGGTGAGCTCGGCGCTCCGACAGGGCACCGGTGGCGGCTCCCCCACCTCCGGGCGCGTCTGGACGGCCATGCCACGCGGACACCAATCTCACCACGTCACTGAGGAGTGTTCTCACCCAAAAATCATCTCGAACTCTACTTCTCGTGATCACACAGAGGCTGGTCACGAAGTTCTTATGTTGACAGTGTAGGCAGGAGCTCGATCTGAGGCTGGTTCCCCTCCTGGTGACTCTCTTAGAGGCCTCTCCCGAATGGTCGGGCTCTTTGTGGGCTGTTAGGGCTTGTGCCTCACGGTTTGGCAATTTGAAGGGAGGCTGAAACAATGGCCATGATGGCTTGCCAGTGAGTCTTGTCGAACCGACACGGGGTCTGCCGGAAGAGGGCTGCAAGGCTCAACCCAGGCTTTCTGCTGCTACGAGGCAGCAAGATTTTGTGAAGTAGCTTTGAAGATTCCGGAAACAGCTAAGCCCGGAGAGACACGGACCTCAGCCAGGCAGCCGTCTTCAGCCTGGACACCGATACACGAGCCTGGACCCTCTGCGCAGACAGCCTGGTTGGCCCCGTCCCTTGGTCCCAAAGAGCACAGCAATCCAGGTGAAAGCTCCTGCGTTTTTTTGCAGCTCCCACGTCCGGATGCTATGAAGCGCAAAGCAAGCAAGGGCCTCGCCTTTGTCGGTGTTCTGACATGGCCTTTCCCAGCACCAGAGAAGCCTATTCCGGCTGCCATCGAACTTCTGCAGCTTGGCTGAAACGCGGGTCTCCGGAGGCACCCGAAGGATGCCTTGTCCAGAGGATCACACGTGCGTCTTGTTTCAGCCTCGCAGTTCGAGTGATCTCCCCTCTTGACAGGGTTTCATAGGAAAGTCCCGCTGGGAAGGAGTCCTTCGCAACGGAACAAGCAGCAGTCCAAGAGCGAACGAAACCGAGAGGTAAATGTCGTCGGCTTGAAATCATGCCTTCGCATTTGAGAGCCCGTCGCTCTGACCTTGCATGCTGCATCCAGCTCGGACCCAGACATATGATCAGGCATGGGGATGCCCTGTTCGAAGCGAGGGTCGTATCCGCGACATTTTGCACGGGCGCAAGCTGTCGTAATACCAAATCACACGCTGCCCTGCTCCACAAGCAAGAGTCAGGAAACAAGCCTATTCCATCTTCGCTGTGATCTCAGCTGCCGGATACTACTACCTGATGCTCGGCCGCTATTGAGCATCCGCACTTCGCACTCGTTCGCTGGAGCCCGTGAATCGCCCCAAGACTATTGAAATCCCACCCCAGAAGCCATGTAGCGCCCAGAAGCAACTGACATGGGACATGGGGAAGCAGGCGATCCTCAGGATTGCATCCGAGTATCCTAGAAAAGTGTATGGTATGTTTGAGAATTTGCCGGGGAAGTACGAGACGACCTCCAGGTCCAGCAGAGCGCAGCACGCAACAACACCCGAAGCCACACCGAAGGATCTACTGCGCGTGGCGTAGCTTCGACAGCTCGGAAGAGCTTCTGGCAGCAATCTGGGGGCCCAAAGCAAGCCCATGGGTGGCCTTCATGACTGTGCCTTGGCATTCCTTTGTTTTTGGGGTGGCTTTTGATGAATCAAACTGAGCATCTACTGTATGTGGGCTTGGGTCCAAGGTTGTTTCTCGAAGACTGTACTTTGCTAGGCGTTAGCAGACACACAGGACAGACGAGGGTCTCAGCTGAGTCGCGAAGCCAAGCAAAGAAATGTGGTGCTGTTTCCGCAGTCCTTTCTTCCGGCTCCGAGTTACAATCAATTGCAAGGCAAGTCCCCAAGCATGGCTGTACAGCAGAAGTGTGCTGTATGGAGTCATGGAAGTCATTCCGCGAAGCATGTCCGTCTAATAGCATAGTGACAGACTGCTATTTTCATTTCCCAGATGTCCCTCCGGCTCAGTCATGGGCCTAAAGTTAAGGCTAAGGACGCCGTATTTGGTATTTGTTGGAACGAATTGCTATACTGGGATCTGCTTTCTGAAACTCTCGCTTAGGTTGACTCGAGTGTACTCAGCCTGTCGATGCTGGTTTATTTGGCTGCAAGCTGCCGTGGCCTAGACGTGCCTTGGCTAGACAGATAGTCGTAGAGTTGGTTTGTGCCCCCGCACTACTCCCTGGTTCTTATTTGGGAATGGGGGAATGGATCCCTTTAGTAGCCCTTATATAACCCTCAACAATGGTCCCCACAACCCATGAAGGTGCTCATAGCCGTGTTGTTCTCGCCCTTCATCGGCCCCGCGGCCGCCTACTGCTTCGTCCTGCGCTCGCGTGAGCAGCAGCGCTTGGAGTCCCTGACTGGGGCCGGCAGTGAGGCCCTGCTGCCCTAAGAAAGTCTCACCTTTAGCTCAGGACTCTAAACTATGGGAACTATGGTATATTCCTTATAATGAGGCAGAGGGCTGATCACAGTCACAGAGGCGATCAGTTCAGCACATCAGAGAAACCAGGTAAAGCACAGCGCAGAGGGGCCCTCGACAAGACAGCTTTCGTTGACGCATTGCTTAAAGAAAGCGGTCGCTCTGCTCCCATCTCTCGGCAGTCCCCAGCATCCCCATTGGAATGAGCATCTATATCTCAACCGATTTCGCCATAAGTCTGAGTGGAAAGCGACAGGCCAGAGGCCATAACTGCAAGCAGCTTCCGGCTCAAAGCAGAGTCGGTGCCCAGCCATGATGGTCGCCGTAGGTCCAGGCAGCTGCCTGGACAACTTCGGCAGGGAATTCGATGCCTTCTTTCTCCACTGCGGAGCATCTCTGGAAAGCTGCAAGACCTGTTTCGAGGAGCTGCCGACGGCCACGCCCGGGGTCGTCGGACTCGAATGGCACGCAAACGAGCTCTGGTCGAGGCGCTGCCGTGTGCTGGCGGAAGATGGGGCGGATCCGCGGCAAGTGCACCTTGGCCGCGCCTGGCCCGCGCATGCTGCCATCAGCTGCCCCAGCAGCTGCCCCGCCTGCTTCCCGGAAGCCCCGGTTCGGTCCAGGTACACTCCGCGCACACGGGCCATCCGCATTTCACTTCTCCTGCCCTTCCTGACCACGGACTACGTCTCACCGTGTCAGGACATCTGGACGTGCAATGCGTCCTTGACAGGCAAGCAGTGAGAGCCCGCTGACCGAGCCCCAGCCCCACATGCAACTGTAGTGCAGCTGCCGGAGGCAATCTGGGTCGCGGTGCGATTTGCTCTTCGAGGGAAAAGAGCGATTCGGAGTGCTGGCGACTTCCTTTCCCGGCGTCTCTGACGTTGGTTATTGCATGTTTGTATTAACGGAGGTGGAGTAGCACTTTCTCTTTGCGTTGGCCACAACAAAGGTCCTGCTACCTCTAGCATCCTTTGGTTACCACGTGCGCGATTCTCTGCAGCTGATGCCCGTACTGCCCCGCCGGTCTTCGTGGAACGACACCCTCGCCTTGAAGGGGCGTGTGCAAGCTGCCATGCTCTGCAATCTGATGCTGGGATGCATTTCAGAAGACGGAGCGGAGTGACGCGAGCTTTTGGGGCTGACTCGGGGGTTCGGAAGCAGTGGTGGACAGCATGGGCAAGTCTGTTCCCGAAGCTTCCCAGGATCGCGGGCTGCTTGGGTTTCACGTGCCGTGCCCCCGACCCTTGCGCTGCAATTCGACACGATCTACAACCTCAGCCAAGATGCTTTTCTGTGACGTTCAGGCTTAGTCGAAACGAGCCGGGACGCCTCTAGGTTATGAAAGGTCGGAAACATCAATGCGTGAGGATTGGTGGACGTGTCACTTGCGCATGGATCGAATGGATCGACTGTACCACCGAGAAACCACTCTGGACGCCTTTGCCTGAAGAGATTCCTCTTTCTTTGCTTTTGCTTTGTTTTCCAACGCGTCCAGTGCTACCATAAGAATCAGAAAACGACACTCTGCACTGTGTGTCCGTTCTCGGTCTCAGGAGTAGGAAGTTTAAGGGAGTGTTTCCTTTCGCAAAAAAAGCGGTTCGGATCTCTCGAGACTCAAGTTGCAGCTTTTGCATCACAGGATCCGTTTCCAGAGCGCACGGCGCTGCACATTGCAAGAGGCAGTCGCAGAGGCGACAAGGCCTATTTGAAATGGCTCCCTCCTCCAAGCCTTAGCTCTCCACGACCGGAGTATCAACAGCTCTACCTCTTCATCTATCACAAGGGCATGTCGACACTCTTCCGAAGCCTCTTTGCCGAGGCCAGCGCAAGGACTTATAAGCCCTGAGCCCTAAAGCGAAACAGTCCCCAAAATCCACACAAGCCGTAACAGCTGATTAGAGAAATCGTCCAAGCCCGACAAGACAAGCACTAAACTTCCTAAGCGTGGACACAAACCCTACACCCTAAACCCTCAAACCCGAAATCTCCCCTGCAGGTTTTGGCTTTCCTTGGCCTCTCGGTGACCCAGTACCAGTGGCCCTCCAGGCCTCGCCGCTGCGGCGAGGCCGACTTTACGGGGCTCTACGTGCAGCCCGAGGACTTGGAGGCTCAAAGCGGGGCTCCCAGGGCGGGGCTTTACATGCGCACATGCACAGTTCTACATGATTGTATATTGCTTTGTACTTGTATTAAATGTTTAGATGTCAATATAGACATATACCCACGCATAAATATATATGTACATTATATATGCACACACACATGTTCACATACACACACACACACACACACTCGCATTTTCCTGTATTTTATAAGGCATGTGCATGTATATGTATATGTATGTGTATATGTATATGTGTATGTTTGTGTATATGTATGTGTATATGTATATGTATATGTATATGTATATGTATATGTATATGTATATGTATATGTATATGTATATGTATATGTATATGTATATATACACATAATATTTCGAAAGACAGGTTTGCATTTTTTATATCTATAATATGCCATGTAGATGTTGAGGCATACGTGTATGCACCGGTATATTTACAAGTATATGTGTGTATATATATATATATGTATATATACATATATGTATGTATATGTATATGCAGGCAGTTTAAGTATACTAAGCCCGGAAGCGTGCCCATATTTTGGTTCGAACTGGATTGCAGCTACGCACTCAAGAATTCTGTCTTGTCTTTTGATGCTCGACTTGGTGCAGCAGCCCGAAGGCCATAGCAATGCCTTGCGCGATACATATTCTGACTTCAGCTGGAGTTTTTGCGAATAGCGCTTGCGCGTAGGAACCGCACAAGCAACTTACTCCTATTCGCATTGTCGCCAATGTTGGGACCTCAGCCGCAGCAGCACATGGCCGAGGTTTCGCAATCCAGACCTCCCGGAGACCTAAAGAATCAACAACCACAGAAGTAGAATCGATCGCCGATCAAGCACTCCACAGCCACAGCAGCAGAGTAACTTGTCCTTGCAGTGCAGGCGCCGCCGTATCGAATTCAAACTTGCCGATGCGCAGCATGACGAAAAGCCAGGTCTAGCATAGAAAGGGCCAGCGTAAGACAGAAATCGCGGCATATCAGCAAACAATTGTGGGATACCACAAACGAAAGAGGCTGTCCCATGCACACATCCATCCATGCATGCATCTGTACATACTGACATGCATGCATCGTCTTCGGTTGTGGTTCTGGCAGAGGCATCAGGCATGTCCACTAAAGCGGTTCCGTGATCCTTGTAAAGGTTGTTTGGATGAAATAGATCCACACAATAATATGACGTACTACTATAAGGCAATACAATATATAGTACAAGACAGAAGATAATGTAAATTATTTTAAGATACGATACAGTGTTGTCTAAATAGAGTAGAACAAAGTTATATGTTTACACAGTCTAACACTCGTTTGACCACGTTTCGTCGCAGGTCTTGGAGCAGAGGTGCCCAAAGTATCGAGCTGTGCACATTCTGCGGTCTCCGCTGGAAATGCTGGCCTCCGGCTACGCCTATCACGCTTACCAAGGTCAGTTCATGAAGCCACAGTCCGGGAGTGTCTGCTTATCTGAAAAGCCGTGCCATGAGAAGGTGACGCCCCACCCGGCTCCGGGCCGAAGGTGCTTCAGAACCTTTCGGTGGCGGAGGGACTCAAGCCCTGTGGCTGCAGTGAGAGGAAGCCGCTCCATGATCCCTATACCAGTAGCATAGCATCGCAGGCAAGAGATGTCTCTGTCGACTTTCGTTCGTGCCGGAAGGCTCGAGGCGAAGCTCCATCTGCGCCGGCAGCACGGCTTCCATCGGGGAAACACCATTGCAGACATGTGGGCGGTGTACCGTTCCGTGAAAGACGACCCTCGCGTCCTCACTCTGCGTGCTGAAGACATACTGGGCCCCGGCCGTTTTGACGAATTTGTCAGGAGGATGCTGTCGCACCTCTTGGGCGCCTCGCTGCGCCTGGGGCCCGGGCTCTGGAGGCAGATCCGAAGCCTCGCGGCGCGCTTCGACGAGAGCCGCTGCGGGCGCTGCATTCCCACACCCAGCGCTCAGACGACGGAGGGCCAGCGCCGGCTGAAGCGGCGAGCGCAGCGAGAGCTTGCGACGCTGAGGCGCAGCCCCGAGGTTCGGAAGCTCTTGCGAATGCAGCGGGAGCTGGGCTACGAGGAGGAGGCGGAGGAAGCTGCGGCAACGGAGAGGAGTCGGAAGAAGTGGAGCTTGCTGGGCGTGGAGTGCTGCCCTGCCGGTGCCTCCGCAGCGACAGCCCGACGCGACGTCAGCGAGCTTTGGAGCCTGAAGTTCAAGGACCCAGCGGAGCTGCGCTCGGTGCTGTTCCAAACGGCCGCCAGCTGCACGCGCCGCTTTGGCCACGTGGTCTTCGTCGATTGGGGCCTCGACTCGGAGAAGATCGGCGGGCGAGGGACCGCGACCTGGGTACCTTTGAAGGGCTTTCTGGCGTCGCTTGCGGAGTCGCCGCTCCACGGCGCCTGCATCTCATCTCATCTGCGCTGCGGAGTCATCGAAAGAGTCTGGAGCGTTGCTCTCCAGAGCTACCAGATGCCGTCCGCGCTTCTCGCGATGCTGCTGAGCTGCTTTCGGCCCTTTCGCAAGAAAGACGCCCAAAACCCGCTGGCGACCGAGGCCGGCAGTGCCGCCGCCGCCCACTGCACGACTTCGTGGCCGCGTCTGTGGCCCGGAGGCCGCCGACGACGTTCGGGGAGAGGTTGGCCTTTGAGAGTCTTTTAGAGTTTGAAGTTGGGCGCGCAGCCGGGCATTCTATGCATTCCCTATTAGAGGGCACCCTTTGCGGAAGTCTTGTGCCAGCGCGGAGGGCCCAACGCCATCTTCTGTCGATTCTTCCAAAAAACCTTTGCAGCTTCGGAAGTGGAAGCCCCTCCATGCAAGAGAACACTCAAAGGCTCAGAATCCTTTGCAAGCCGAGACGGCGAGGACTTGGCGCACGTTCTCGATTCTCTTCCAGCCGACCGGGCACTGCAAGACACCTTGTGCTTCGGCGGCTTCGGGGGGATAAAAAGGTTGGCGGACTTGGCCAGGCCTTCTTTGTTCCGGCGGGTGTTTGCAGCTCAGGAGTGCCCTCGTCCAGAGACTGGAGTCGGAGGCCGGGAGGACCTTGGAAAACCACGTGCACCCTAAAAACTATGACTCCGCCAGCTCTGCTGGCTCTGCAGTTTGGAAGGCAGAGCGAGGGGCTGTGGCTCTGCAGCCTCCGTGCCCGAGAAACTTTAGCGACTTCTGGGCGGAGGGTGAAAACCTGGGCTTGTGATTGTGGCGTTTGTGGCCGCTTCCTTTGGCCGCAAAGCTCCCAGCCAAAGGTTGTTGCCCTCCGCGGCAAGGGCCCAATCACTGTTTCCAACCATCAATGTGCCACGGTATGATCTCTGGTCAATATGAGGGGAACCCAAGGAACCTGTCATATTTCAATCCACAAAAGCCCAGAAGTCAAAAGCGAAGCTTAGATCTTCCTGTCCACTCGCAGGCCTTAGTCTTTCAACCCGAAGTTGTCACCCGTACTCCCAAGCAATGGGCCCCAACCCTTCCTCCTCAGCAGAACGTCTTTTGAAGAACCGCAGCACCTTTCCGCTGGATTCAGAATGAATGATCTATTTCCAAGTGTTCTTCAAGCTCCTCCCTGCACGTTGAACATCGTTTTAGGCGCTCCTATGTTCAGTTGGAGCCGGGGGAGGGCGGGGTGTAAAGCTCACGGTTTAGGGTTTCAAACTCGTTTCTCTTGGGCCCACAGTAATCGAAGGAAAGCTATGGGGCAGATTTTTAGCTTCTCTTTCTGCATGAAGTTGACGCAGTATACACCCCGGTGCGCGGTTAGAAAGCCAACACAACGGAGGGCGCCCCCGGACATGTCATTCCCACCTCGGAGGTCGAGTTGTTGCTGCAGCAAACTAGCTGCGGACAGAGACTGCAGCCGTTCGGGCTCTGTTTTTTGAATTCTCCGAACACCTCCCGCACCTTCGACATGCTCGGGCTTCTCTGTATTCTGGATTCCGACAGCTCATATCGGTGGCAGTGTGAGTACGTCTGGGAGCAGCTGCACGTGGTAGGAGTGTGTCTGTTGTCTGTTGTCGGCCGTGGAAAGCCAAGCGGAAGTGGTTTTTGCCTTTTGCCACTTCCGAGCCATGGCCGCCCGAGCAGATCGCCAGCAGGCCTCGGGGCGCGAGCGCGTGGGAGACTTTCGGGTGTAAAGAGCCGTCGGAAAATTGCTTTGGGAGGCTTTCGCTTTTGAAGGCTCAGCGGTTCACTCTCCCACCACGGCTCACTCCCCGGCCCTTCTGTCAGAGGCTCCTGCCTGTTTGAACTCTCTCTCTCTCTCTCTCTCTCTTCTTCTCCGTCGCTTTCGGCTTCTTAGCATTGGTAGGCACCGGGATTGCTATACTGGGGTGTGTCAGCAGATCTTCTATGTTTTGCTGAACTGCTGGAAGACCGTGAGGTTCGCCTCTGGCGTTCCGTTGCCCTGGCGCTGGCTTGCTACTGGGCCTCCAGGCACGGACACGAGCATAGACAAGGTTTCCATGGGGTGCAAGGGCAAAGGGCTCTGTAGCATTCCTTTGAGTGGCCAGATCTGTCCCTCTCTGAATTTCAAGCCTAGGGATGAGGAGTCCGACGCAGTATCCTCTCGCTTCGTGGCGGAAAGCCCTGAAGCCGGTTTCGCCAAGCTCCCATCTTGCCAGTGCTTTCGTGGCTCTCGGCATCCACCCGGCAGCTCCAGCGCCTCGAGGCACTGTGCTTGCAGGAATGCATTGGAGCCCTGTTGGGAGGGATCCCTTGAACTTCGAGGAAGCTTCAGGGCTCTTTGGGGGCTTCGGCTGCGTCGCTTTACTTCGCTCGCATCTCGCAACTCAGGAACTGACCTCAAAAACATGTCCAGTCCAGTGCCAGGCGCCGATGCCCGGGCCGCGCCGGGGCCCCGCAGATCTGGGTCTCAGGCTTCTCGCCAGGCTTCTCGGGCCTGTGGGCTTGTAGACTCGACTGAGAAGTGATCGATAGGATTCCGGAACTCGTGCACTTGACGGGGGGTTGACTTGGCAGACGAAGTCGTTGCGAAATTCCGTTATCAATTCATCAGTCCTGCAGGCTCGACCAAAGCCACCGTGGCCCTGGAACTTGAAGAACTTTGCACCCAAAGATGCCAGAAGTGTCACTAAGAAATGGCTCCAACTCTCTCCAAACCGAGCGCCCTTCTCCGAGCGGCCAAGGCTTGGCGGTGCGGGCTTGAGAAGGCTGGACCTCGGGTGGTAGGTGCTGTTTGTGGAGAGCCTGAAAGGGCGGGATCTTGCGAGGGATGTTCTGCTCGCCATTTCTTCGTGTCTTGAGACCTTGGTAATGGGAGTGTGTTCTTGTGACTTTCATTCGACCTTCGAAAGCTTCTTTTGGGTTGTGTGTACCAGAGGTCCGCGACTGCCAAAATCGTCACGAAGAGTCCCTTTGCCGTCCGCGTTCAGGGTGTCAGTAAGTCTCCAGAACATTGCAAGGGCACCGGGCATGCGGCCTGCGGCAAGCAAAGTCATAACTTGACCATCCTTCAAGAATCCCCGGCATCGGCATAACTTTCCAAAGCCTGCCTCCGCTTGCCGGAGCCTGAAATCAAGCGATACGTTCAACGTTCGGTAGCAGACAGGTGCCGGGTGAGGCGAGCCGTGTGGAGCTTACTCGGCTCGCTCTGAATTGCAGAGCCGACCTAATGCCACCCCACTGACACGTTATCTGCAGTCCACGGCGAGAGGCCTGTCTCTCTGCCTGCTTGCGATTTCGTTACATTGACGTTTCCTGCCTGCCCGCCTGCTGCAGCTAGCTGGCTGGCCCATGTATCTACTTGTCTGCTCATCTGTCTGTCTGCACAAATGTACGAACGTGCCCTTCAACCACAGGAACAGCAATCCGCTGAAACGGATTGGAGCATTTGAGTAAGAGGACCTGACCTGCTGCTTGTGAGAACCCGGAGCTATCTGCTCGAAAGGGGTTCCTGAGCATTCAGGAAGGAGGAGCAGGGAGCAAGCTGCTCGAAAAATCAATTGAGAGAGGGGAGCAAATCGTTCCAAAAGGCCTACAGTGTTTGAGAGGAGCAGCGAGCAAGAAGTGCTATGGTCTACAAGTTGCGGAATTCATGGTGAAGTCATGTAGCTCTCACCATGGGGATATAAATCTTGAAACTACAAGCCTTGAGTGAAAAGAGCATGCTAAGCACGGCACGAAGTCCAACGCTCTTCGTTACACTGGGTGATGGAAGAATGACCCGGAGCCCCGAGGCATCGATTTTGTCCTCGTCCGAAACACTCGGCGCGGCACTCGACGGGGTTTGCTTTCCAGCCGCCCGTCGCTGCTTTTACGTGCCGAGTGCAAACGTCGTGCTGCTTGTAAAGCTCCGGATGTGTGCAGATGAAAGGGATCCATTCACAGCAGGCTACGAGAGTCTTTCTCGGGCCGGGTACCGAAAAGGATTGATTCTTAGTGTTCAGCACCTTCCACTACAGCCAGAGCCCGAATGGGGAAGAGGGGAAGGGAAGACTGGAAAGCGAAACTGAGGCGCGGATTTCAGCAAGCTTGAGGAGGTCCTGAAGGAGAAAGATTTCAAGGCGGAGCCTGCATGGTTTGGGCTTTAGCGGTTTAGGGTTTAGGGCTTCGAGTTGGTTGAATCGAAATCTTCGAGTTGTGGATGCCGGTCAAACCAGGCAGGAGGCCTGCGAAGGCCTGCCTGGGAACTGCAGCTCGTGCAAACAGCAGAAGAGCAGGGATTGAGGAATTACGGTCTTCAAGTGTATTTGTAAATGACGGAGGCTAGTAAAACTCGGCAATGTGAAATCGCAAGATGTCACTGGACAGTCCAGTGGTACGAGCCAACGCCATCTTCATGTCTGAATTTCAGACGGTCCGAATGTCGATCTCAAGTATAGGATTCAGGAGGACGGAAAGATGGCGAAGTTGTTCCGGTCTCCGTGCAAAGCGATCGAAAGCCTCTCTCACCCGTTCAGGCTGCAGATGCGGAGACACGACGCCTGCTCATCGAACTGGGTGGGGAGGCCCTGGGCTCGGGCTCTGAAGTCTTGCAGCGAGCAGTCCTGGTAGCTCCCCCGCGGCACTCTGGGCGCCCCACCCACGGGTTGCAATCACCCTTCGAATCCAGAGTCCAGAGCTAACACAGGCCTCTGTCATTGGGCCATGTGTGCAGGCTGCGGTGAAGAGAGGTTGGGTCTACTTCGCCGAGGCAGACTTACGGGCCTTCCATGAGCAGCCAAGGGCCTTCAGCGATGAAGGGTTGTAGAATCCCCACCTGGGAGATCTAACGTTCGTCAGCAAGAGACGGCGCACCCTCCGGTATCTGCGCCTTCCGGAAAGCTCTCTTGTGGCAAAGAAGCACCGGCGCCAGGTGCGGAAGATCGAAGAACAGGACATGGATGCGATGGAGACGCTCTGGCAACACTACAGCGAGGCAGGATTCGGCAAGCACCTCGCGGTGTGCGAACCCTTTGGGGGATATCGCTGAAGTGTGCGCATTCTGCACAGTTGAAGCGCTGCAAGTGGCCCTTCTTGCCGTCCCTAAACCCTAAATCCTGTCTTCGCCCAACTCAGCCTGCGCCCTGCACCCTGGCAGGGACGTTTCGGCTTCAGCCCGCAGCGAAAGATCTGGAAGCTGGGCTTGAATGGCTTGAAAGAGTAAGAAATCTATACACCGTACACAGTAACCCAATGTATTTCTGTCACACTGCAGGAATGATTCTAAGGCTTGGCTCTCCGTCAAACCTGAGGTGTCGTTTACCCCAGTACAATATGCTGCTTGCATTTACTTCGGAGCCACATGGGGGCTTCCGAGCGGTCGGCATCCTTCTGCTAACTTTCGATCAGGCTCCCTTGCTTCGGAAGCTTCGCCTGGCGAGTTTTTGGCCCAGGAAGAGGGTCCGAGGACAGTTCGACAAGTTCGCGGAGGAGGTGCCCTAACGCGAGAACTTGAAAAAAGGGGGCTACGAGCCTCCCGGAGGTCCTCTCGTGGTCGCATCTTGGGTGCGGGATGAGAGTGAGATCGTGTTGCTTCGGACACGTTGGACGCCCTGTGCGTTTGCAGGTCTCCTGGTTCACTGACACCTGGAAGAATCGAAACTGGCCCGGTCCCTGCAGCCTGCAGCGTCGGAGCAGTCTGGGGTTTCGATGACTTGTCTTCCGAGATGCGGAGTCTTGACCCGCTGAACTAAAAGGTGCGGGTGTTTAGAAATCCTCGCCAAATCCCCAAGAGGGGTCAGGCGACAAATCTCGTTGAACTTGGGCTATCCGTCTCAGGTGTTTGAAGATTTGCTTTGCCATGGGTGCCAGGGCAGGATTCGGGGTCCTCATTCGAAATAAGTTTGGACTTATTTCGAATGAGGTTCGCACGTTTCGTTTAAGTGATGTTGTGGGGTGCTCCCCGGGAAGGTTGGTGGGATTGGGGGAAAAATATTTTTCCCCAATATGTTTAGTGCTTACGTCGTTTCTGCGTGCAATCACTGAATGTACCAATGGTGCTATGTGTGATGTACGCATCAGCTTTTAGGCCCGATGAGTTCCAGGAGGAACGAAATGCACGGCTAGAGCTGAAAACCTGATGGTTGCTTGATCTCGGATTCACGTTTGCCGACTTCCGACTCCGAGAGCCCTCCCCGAGGCCGGATGAGTTCATCTACACGCTCGAGGCCCCTGCCCGGCTCTCGGAGCTCCGAGCGGGGCACGCGCTGGGTTCGCCGGCGCGTGCCAAACAGCGTGCTTGAGCAAGTTTGCATGTGGGCGACCTCGCTCCGGGAGCTTGCAGAGGTGTAGGTCATGGCGAGGTCAAGCTGCCTCGTCTTGCGGTTGCAGCGGGCGCTGAAGATGAGCTAGGGCTCGGTGCTTTCACTGAGGTCGGCCATCTGCCTCTCACGAACTGCATCCGAGGGGCCCAAGTCCTAGAGGACGGGGCTGCCGCTCTTCGCTTCGCAGAGCAGCAGCTCACGAGAAGTGACCGGTGGGGGGTCTTTGGCAGGAGCTGCTGAGCCACCCGGCCATCGAAAACAGAAAGGCGCCTTTCTTTGGCCCAGTAGCTTGGTGGACATCTGGGGATTTAGGCGTTATCATGCATGGACCATCGAAGTCCGGCAGATTCAGCCTGAAGGGGTTGAGGTGCTCCTAGCCAAGACAATTCCTAGTGGTCCCCTGCGGTGGATCGCGGCGGGCCTTTGCTTCCCGGTGCCAGGCTGCGGCAGTGAAGGCCCGGCCTACGAAGAAGTCAACGGACGATTCGGACGACGAGCCGCGGGGCTCCCGGAGCTTCTTTCTTGGTCTCTGTGTGTACATGCTCTTTCCCTTACTCGAAGCTGCTGCTTGTAGGTGGGGAGAGGGAGAAGCTGAATCGTTAATAGTCAGACCCAGACAGCTGTCTGTCTGTCCGTCCTTCCTCTCTGTCTGTATCTAGGTACGAATTTGCGTACAAATGTGCTTATGAGTCTATGGTTCCCATCATAGTAATTACATCAGTAGCTGAATGCTGTGTAGCTCACTGTGCAATACACGTAGTGTCTCCTCCTAGCCCTAGCAACAGACCGAACTTCCTGAAGACTCTCCAGCAAGGCAGTCCGGCAAGCGCTCTCCGCTGTCAATGCTCTGAGCCCGACCTTTTTAACAGAGAAGAGGAAAAGTGGCAGAGCATTGCCGGAGCACGGCCGCACATCGCACTGAGGGCTCCTTGCTTCTAACGGTGCACGACAGGATCTTCCGAAGTCTGGCCGCCCGCGCCTGCTCAGTAGTATACGGGTGTGAGTAGTTGACATGCGGTGGGCATGGCCAGACATAGAGGGGCTTGCGGATTCGAGGAAGCTTGTCAAGCCGGAAGCTTTCACTCTTTCACGGCGGAGAGATACCAGAAGGTTTGCCATACCACGTGCCCCAAGACCACGACTATACCCTAGGCCCTAGCCTCAACACTCAGCAACATCAACCGTGACAGTCCTGAGAGTGAAATTGGCGGAGCCGTGTCTTCGCTGACGGCAGATGCCATGGAAACTGCCGGGATCCTTGAAAGCGTGCTGCCTTTGAGGCTCTTCCATCTTCAGCATCAGGAGTATTGAGAGTTCAAGGGTCTCCTAACACCCTGCCTGACCCGCGGCCTACGCAACCGCTAAATGCAGTCAACTGCAGCAACCCCTCCGAACTCCGAAGAGTTCATCTCCTGGAGTTCCAACATTGGCCATGCTTGTTTGGCAGGTTAGAGAGATTGACGTCATCATTAACACTACTTGCTGCTTTCCGAGGTTGCTATCCCTTCAGTATCATACTCCATGATGAGATTATCACTTCAATTGAGGGTACCATAAGGGCTCCTGTAAGGATCCATGAGGGTTCTATAATATAACGATATAGTAGAATGTAGGGTCTCTATACTATGAACTACTGTGAAGGTTCATCTCTTTCATTTTCTGGTCTGCGCACGGGCCCAGGTCCGGCCGGCGAGGTCGCCGCGGCTGCACACCTTGTGCCCCGGCTGCGGCATTGATGTAGAGAGGAAGGGGGTGGGCTTAGGGTGTTGAGATGGGTTTAGGGTGTTTAGCTGTGGCATTAGGGGTGTAGGGATTAGAGGTTTAGGCTGTATGATTACACTCTTGGGGTTGCAATGACTCTGTCCTAAGACTGAGGTGGCTCTGCAGCATAGCTGGGTGCCTTGCCCAACTGCCGTTCTCCGGAAACACGAAGTCCGATCTTAAATCGCGAGGTTTAGGCCACAAGAAGCCTTTGTACGGCTGCCAACGTGCAGGTATAGAGTATAGCATTCCACATCTACCAAAAAAACCCATCCGGAAACGCCGAAGCCGGCGCTCGAGTAGTGTTTTTTTGGCATGCGAAACCCAGGGCCGCGGCGAAGTCGCCCTTCGATCAGGCGCCTCTCTTGGTCTTGGCGCAGTTTGGGGGCGGCAAATCTGCGACGCCTCGGAGGTCCCCAAGGCCGTCAGCCTGGATCCATTGCTCAACGACCAGCTCAGCTCCATGGGGCAGGAGGCAGAGCTTCCAGCACGGGGAGCTGAGCACTTTTCAATATTCCAAGCCTGGCAGATTAGCCACCTGCTGCTGCGTGCGGGGCCCGCCAAAGATTTCGAGGCGCCGTGAGAGCTCGCGCGTTTCGGAGGGCTTCTAGCTCTCGCGCTGGGCTGTCTTCTGACTAAAGTCTTTGAGGGGATGGTGCCGGACACAGGTCCATCAATCCACGGTCCGAAGAACCCCCTTAACGAAGCAAGGCACTTTAGCATTGTTTTATCTTTTCCGGGGGGGCGGCAGGCAGGCAGCCTGCGTAATTTGGCCGGCTGCAGCTTCGGGGGAATAGAGTGACGGAATTAAACAAGATCCGTGGAGCATGCGTTGATTGCACGTTGATCGCATTGCTTTGCTTCTCTGCAGCTCCTCGAAGCACCTGGCCGCGATCCAGCTCCCTCACCACAGCGGAGGCAGGTCAGCGATGTGCAGTCTCGGACAATGTGTCTGTTGCCTAGTCCCGTTTAAAGTCCAGGCAAGATGCAGCAACTGTTCGGCAGACTGTTCCGTCTGTTGTATTCTTATGGATGCCAAATATTTATATGCGATATTCTCCGATAGCCAGGCAGTCAGGGTAAAGTCATCCTACAGGGCGGCATCGTTTCGAGTGGCTCGGGTGAAATTTCTATCCGAAAGTGCGGCTGCACTGACACGCACATGCCAAAGGCCCTTTGATGCCAGTTGCTCTATGTCTGCTCTTGGTGGGTGTCGGCGCGGTTCCATGAAAGGAGGAGGGACAGTTGCGGAGCACAGCAAAAAAAACGCGAACCTTCGCATCGGATCGGGAGGCTCTTCCTCCCCTTCAGCAGCCCGCCGCCGGAGACGAGACAGCCCAAGGCGCGGGAGAACAGCGGCGGGAGCTCGGGCGGCGGTTCGGCTGCCTTTTGGGGGTCCCGCCTTGGCCGCGCATTTGGCCTACAGGCCCAAGGCCTAAATCCCCCCGCTTCAAAGGTTCGAGGACCAAAAGGACTCGGCGGTTCTTTCCGGCGTTTCGCGCCAGGCAGTTTCCTTCGCTGGGGCGAAAGTCCATGCGCCTTGGCCAAGCGATTTATCTCTGAAACCTGCCGCTTTCCGCAGAATCGGGGAACCAGTCCTAGTTGTGCCTCACTTCGTATCTCGGGCTTCTGTAGACGTAAGTCGCAGAGCCCGGATGTACTCTGGCATGCCATCGCAGCATGTTTTCTGCAGTTCTGGCAGCGAAGTCACTTGACCTAGACCTATGCATCGGAATCATCCCAGAGCATTGACGATTGGAAGGCCTGCCCCAGTCAAACTGCGGGGCACTGGATAGCAGGTAAGCGAGGTTTCTGGCTACCTACAGGCTGCTTCCCTTGCCCCAACGTTGGTCTTGGATTCCACCCCGCTTTGCATGCCGATGGCAGCAAAGGCACCACCAGTGCCAGCACAGCCCTATGCAGCTGCAAAGGCCATGTTCATGTTCTGTCTTCCGAGCTTCCAGGCATTTCTCGCGCATCGCGAGCAGTCTCAGCTCGCGTGCTTCGGCAGATCGCGTAACATCCGGTGCAGTTCAACATGGGTTTGGACGCAGGATCAGCTCAAAGTTCGAGATTCGTTCAGGCAGCTTTGGGCTTGATGCCGTCGTGATGACGCACCATCCTTCACTTGACCCGAAGTGTAGCTGTGCAACACAACACACATCCTTTGATGCCCAGTCCAAGCCTTTCTGAGAACGCAGGTGTCGCAGGTGCAGCCCGCGATGTGCAGCCGGAGCCTCAGTGAACTTTGAGCTTAGGCTTAGGACGAATCTGAGTGGCGATTGCAAGCCTGAGAGCTGAGAGCCCGGTGCTCCTGTGATTCTTAGTCTCTGTGAGCCCGAGCACTTTTGTAAACCCTCCCTCTCCAGCCCAGGCCGCTGCCCCGTGCTGAACCTGCAGGCGGGGAGGGGCACTGCGGGGGCCACCAAAAAAGGCACGGAAATCTACGTGCGGCGTTTGGGCGACTTGCTTTTGTTGTTGTTCGTTTTGGAGGCCGGGTCGGCTGAGAGTCCGTCTTCGCCCGTCCCTACGATGCCCTCAACCTCTCTTTCTGAGTTTGACTGCCCTGTCAGGGCCTGGGCACGGAAGCCGTGCACAATCGCACAAGCTTATCACGAGCCCGCTGCCTTGCAGGTCCGCGCCTTGAGCCAGTCTCTGGCAGGACTGGGTGCGAAGACTTTCAACTGGCCGGGGAGCTTAGTCAGCGAGGGGGGTCACACGGTCACACGGCTCCGTCAACAGTTTTGCGCACCGCAGCCGTCAAGCTCATACGATCTACTTGCCCATTGCTGCGCGTCAACGCGTCAACAGCCATGCAGCGCTTCCTCTGCCTGTTCATGGTTTCGAGCGTCCTGGCCATGGAGTGTGAGAGCCGAGCGAGGCAAGCGGCTGTGGGCTCTAGAGTGAGAACCTCCTGCAAGCACTAGCCACACTAGCCCCAAGCTTGCTGCCTGCACACTGCGCACCACTTAAAAGGCTGATTCAACTCTTTCAATCAGATCTCGATAGGTGTGCAGCTGAGACGGAGGAGCAAGCGCTTTTGGCAATTGCCCCACAACCAAAATCTGGAGGGCCAATGAAAAAGTGGTTTTGGCACCCCTTCAAGCGCACGAGCTTCAAGCACCAGGGATACTATGGCCAGTCGACGCCTCCTTGCATTGACACCGAGCGTGATATGCTCTTCTCGTTCATTGCCAAGCTTCCGGCCCGTGACTCAGAGATAGCCTGGTCTACGTCCCAGTAGCGTGACTGCTGAGTCCTGACGCTTCAGCTTGCTTTAAGCATAACAGCGAGTTGAGGGTCGTGAAAAGCTGCTCCCTGCTTTGCGCAGAACGCCATCGTTCAGTTCTACGTGAACCGAGACATTCCCAATGCGTCCATGTACTCACTGGAAATCGTGTGTGGCAGCAACTTTACCTTTACGTTCCCAGCGGAATCCTACCAAGCCGGCGCGCTGCTGAACATGGTTCTCCCCGGGGATGCGGCTGAGTTCGAAGAAGTTTGGTACACGGCAAACTTCACTGAGGAGATTGAGCCGGATGGAGACACCATGGACTGCACACTGCTACTGAAGAAGGGGACGGACACGGTGGATGAGTGGAATGGCCCTATGGTGGCTACCGAGGACGAGACCTTTGCACAGCGCATGGTGGTGGCACCCGGCTTTGACCAGTTTGATTGGAACATCTCGACTGAGGCAGGAGAAACCGAGTGCTTTCTTCTTCTTCTTTAGTGTCCCTTGCTTACCGCTGCGAGGCCATTTTTGACAACACTGACGAGGATGACTGGCTTGCAAACACTCCAATCTCAGGCTTCTGCCAAGACGAAGGCTACATCCCAATCACGGTGCGGTCGCAAATGGAGTAAGCTTGAGGCAGCGTTTTTGTAAATCCTGTCAGTGTTGCCTGACAGGGCTTTTAGACGAGATGGCAGTGTCAAAGACACAGCCTCCGCCCAGCAAGATCTGGGTTTGCTAACTCCCAATTACCAACTCTCCTTGTGCAGTTTTCGCGATGACATGCTGAAGCTGGTCGTCACGCTGCTTCTGATGGTGATGGTGGCAACGCGGCTATTTGGTCTTCGTAATGATTGCGCGGATGACCTTCACGATGACGATGGTGATGCAGACCATGACTATGGTGATGGTCGGTGATGGTCATGGTGGTGCCGTGAATGATGGCAATCATGCTGGGCAATCATGATGATGACGGAAGTTGCCATAGTCTCGATGATGCCCGTGTGATGGTGATGATGTTGGTAATGATGGCAAACGTAAAGGATGACAGTGATGATGCTGCTGATGTTCTTGATGTCGATGGCACGGGGTGAGGTTGTTCATGATGATGATGATGATGATGATGATGATGGTGATGGTGATGATGATGATGGTGGTGACGGCGACCGGGATGATGGTGACGATGAGTACATGATGGTAAGGCTGCCACTGCTGACGATTCGGAATGCGCGCATGAGGCCTATAGCATTATAGTGGTGATGCTGGTCATGATGATGTGAACATTAGCAAGCATGAGGAACAATGCTGCTGCTGCTGCTGCCGCTGTCGCTGCTGCTGCCAGGATCAGCTTCGGTCGTCATGATAGCGATGAAACCGAGATGGTAGTATGGGGCGATGACGACGATGATTGATGCCGACAAAGCATGATGACGGCAACAGCGACTAGCCCCCAGGCCTCTCAGATCCCGGTAAAAACAACCCATCCAACATGGGAGAGCTTGGGCACTTCCGAGGTCTTCCGGCCTCAGCAAGCTCCAACGAAGAGATCTCGCCGAGGTGGTCTTGGAGTATTGCAGGCCACGCGCGAAGCTTGAGAGTTTCTGGGGAGAGCGAAGCTTCCCGGCCAGGCCCTGCGCCCATTTGGATCCCACGCTCGAGGCCAAGCGACCCGCGAAACAGGGATCCGTCTTCACACATCCCTCGCAGGCTCTATAGGGCAGTTCTCTGCGGTTCTTTTGTTGCCCTTTGCCCGCGTGCGTGGCTCACCGCTTCGCTGGCTAGCCGCTACACGGACATGATGACTGGTGATGGTGGCATATGGTCCCGGATTGCCGGCACTGCGACCGCCTTCCAAGCACTGGTCTTCCTCGCAGAACTGCCTGAACTGCCTTCGGACACTTTCACGTGCTTTCCGATCGCTTCGCAGGACTTGTGCATCGACCTTGAGCAGATCCAGTGGGCTGAGGTCTGGAGGTAGTTGGGGAAGTATCTCGACACTGTTGCACGCATGGGCTTCAGATGAATGCTTGAGGCTTGAGCTAACAAGCCTTCATCAGGGCTGGCGGGTGGCAAGTTGTCCACCTTTCTTTTGTGAGAGTGCTCGGTGGGCTCTTACTTACTGCTCCAGGTCTCTGTGGCCCCAGCAGCAGTGGGTCGGGAGGCCTTCGAAACCCGCATTGAGCCTTCTACGCTCCAGTCCCCTTCCTGAGAGCGTGTTTCGAGGCGCCTCCGCCGGCCTGGCTGACAAAGGCTCCCTCGGAGGCCGCCAGCGTTTGGAGAACGGAACGCGGCTGCTCGGCCAAGCCGGCGGCACGCTATGACGTGACGTCGTAGCCTCCGGCCTGCGTGCTGATTCTTTTTGCAAGTCTTTTCCTTCTTGAAGAGCCCACACAATTGCAGCACCGGGGCAGTCAACTGCGGCCGGAGGCAACTTGTGCATAAGCGAGGTCAGTGCTACAGTGTTACGAAGCGTCCTCTACAAGAAGTGTTTGCAGTCCCAAGTGGCCGGCGAGCGCAGAAGGGTCCAAAGTGGACAGGAGCCATTGCATCGGCCAGTGGTAGAGGCCGCGCAGAGGCATCACGTGGCTCGCTTCTTGTGACTGACGACAATTTTTCCTGTGTGTGCGGAGTTTGCGTTACCTTCCAGCCGTGCCAGGGACGAACTTCGTCGGCATAGTTCGCCTCCCAGCCGTGAGCCAAGAACTGGAGCGCCTATTGGGTTTTCCGGCAGAGGATGACCCAACGATTTCAGGCTGAAAGCTTCAAACAAATTGCAAAAGAACATGTCAAGGCGCTGCTGCATTGGCCCATTCGGTTCGGGGTACAGCTTGCCTGGCTCTTCGGTTCCGCTGAGCATAACCGTGAATCTGTTTGTGCCGAAGCGGGTCCGCTCTTGCAGGCATTGTGACTGAAAGCACGTTGTGATAAGTTGTGCGGAAATTCTGGCGTCCTTCCGCCTCCTGGGGATGTCTTCTTGGGCCCCTGAGGTTCTCCGCTTCGAGAAGCAGTGCCCTGCCAGTCGCAGATGGAGACGACGCCGAGGCTTCCAGCGGAAGACTCTCTTTCTCTCTCCTGCCCTCTCTCTCTCTCTCTCTCTCTCTCTCTCTCTCTCTCTCTCTCGCTCTCTCTCTCTCTCTCTGTCTCTCTCTCTCTCTCTCTCTGTCTCTCTCTCTCTCTCTCTCCCTCTCTCTCTCTCTCTTGAATGACACGCGCCCAATGATGCGCCCGATGGTCATGATGCATGTCTGAATGCTACGATGCTGAATGGCATTGGCTCAAGACTGTACAGATTGGCTTGACGTCACAAAAGAATGTCTGCTCGAGTGTGACTGTGGGGAAAGTGATTGATCTTGGTTGCTCGGTATCCCTAGATTCTACTGTTGAATTTTGCATGGTAGTGGAGCTTCGGCTATGGAATCAGGGACTGCGAGAGAATGGAGTGCGGAACCAGAGTGATTTGCGGTGAGATCAAACTGTTCCCGCCACCAGTGTATCATGGAGATCTGGAGAAATGGGAAGATTGGTCGTGGCAGCTGAAGCGATATGTAGGAATGCACAAGCAGGCCACTGGCCAAACTGCTAATGGACGATGTTGCAGGATCCAACCGAGCGATCACTGATGATTTGTGTGAAGCATTTCATGTTCAGCAAAACCGCACGCAGAATGATCAGCTTTCATTGTTCTCTAGGCAACTTGCTTATATGTTGGTGCAAATCACTGATGGCGCCGCACGAGCGATTGTTCGCAATGAGGACACGGAGAATGGATTCCAAATTTGGCGTAGACTGCGCAATCAGTTTTCACTGCCAGAGAGAGCGAGATCCCCGAATCTCCTGAATGAGATCATTGGGTCTCGCCCGAAAAATGATCATTTCGAGAGCGACTTGAGTGAATGCATCATATTGAAGAACAAACATGAGAAGACGACCGGCAGGCCTTTGGACAGTGACACCTTGCTAATGCAGAAGACTGTTGCTGCATGCAGCAGCATTTGAGTTTGAATGTCAGGAATATCAACACGTTCAATGAGGCACTGGAGATCATTTGCAGCTATATCAAGAGTAGACATCTGACTGTGCCGAGTGGTAGGACTGATCATGCCCACCAAGGACAAGCCGACATGGACATAGGAGCATTGAAAGGAAAGAAAGGAATACAAGGCAAAGGATACAAAGGAGGTGCAAAAATCCACCAGAGAAAAGGATAGGATACAAGGGCAAAGGAATGTACAAAGGAAAAGGCAAAGGAAAGTGCAAAGGATACAAAGGAAAGGGACAAGGACAAGGAATGAAAGGAAAAGGTAAAGGACAAGGATGTTTTCTGTGTGGAGAGCCCAGCCACTGGAGCAAGGAATGCCTTAAAGGTAAAGGAAAATGTGAAGAGCTTGGTGCCTTGGAGTTGCGTGGAGTGTCGGACGTGCATGACTGTTCGATTGACCAGCTCTGCCAGACTGGCGCCTTGATTGCTGCAGCTCAAGGAATGAAGTTCTCCGAAGGATCCCGTTGGGACACCTGGGAGGTGAATGAGACTGAGCTGAAGTTGATTCGCCATGTGAAGGTTTGGAGGAATGAAACGTTGGACCCTCGAATCAAACTGGCAAACAAGATGCCGGTACCTGTGCCATGAGAAATATTGGCGAGGCCGAGTTGAGTTTGGACTGATGCACAAGCCGCAGCGCCAGCGTGCGCAAAAGAGTGCACTGCGTCCACATGATCCACAGATTGGCAAACCGCCGCCGCAGAAGGCGTAAATGGCGTGATTGCTACTTCCATCCAGATGATGCCAGTTCTCCTGTTGATGGATTGTTGAGTGATCTCTTGTGGGGTGAGAGGTGCGCTATGTTTTTCGACTCGAGTGATCCCACTATGATAGATACTGGCCATCAAAGTGCATGGGCAGACATCGAGATGCCTGATGGATCAGTGAAGGAATGTGAGGATCCACGGAGTCCCACTGGACACAAGCGGACTGGATACGCATTGTTTGTGCCGCTTGACCGCCCTACTGCTGGCGAGACTGCCGAGCAGGAGACTGAGGACAGGAGTACATTGAAGCCGAAAATGTTGAAGGTTACTGGTGAATCCTCAGAAAGCGAACGGCGACTGCACGAGTTGACTCATCTCCCTTACAGGGACTGGTGTGAACACTGCGTGGGGTCGAAAGGACGACAGAGTCATGCAGCGAAGCAGAATCATCGTCAACCTGTGATCCAGATTGACTTCTCCTTCATGGCGACGGAGAATGACCTTCCGAAGCGTACGGTGTTGAGTGCCACGGATGTCCAGACTGGATTTTCAACGGCTGTTGTGCTGCCGTCGAAGGGAAGTGTTGAGAAGTATGGAGTTGCCGAGTTCAGGAAGTTTGTGTTTGAGATTGGCAGGGCTGCTGGGATTGTCCAGTAGTATGACAGAGAGGTGCCACTGAAGGCAATGGCGCGTGACCTGTGCAAAACGACCGGTTGATCGTCAGTGCGTGCAGCGCCGACTGGACACGCTCAGTGTTGGGAATGCCCAGCGCGCACTGTGTGGACAGTTGAGAACACTGATTTCTCAAGTGGATCGAGGAATCGACTGGAGTGAAGTTGAGTTTGAAATCGCCAATGTTCACCTGGGCCGTAAAGCCTGCGCAATGGCTGAACAGTCGTTCGTGACATGAATGGAACTGACGGCAAGACTGCTTACAATTGTAGATGGAGTCGCGATTATGGCGGATCACTGTGCATGTTTGGTGAACTGATTGACGAAAGAAAGCCACTGAGCAGCAAGGTGCGTGTTCCCAAGGTTGGGTCGCAATAGTTCACGGGCACGTATCTTGGAAAGGACACTGAGGCCGATGAGGTTGTTCTTGGGAATGCAAGTGGCAAGTGGTGTCTTCAAGGTCAGGACTGTGAAGAGAAGATCATCTTCTCAACAATGGAATGCGTCGCATGTCATGAAAAATGTTTCCACACCTTGGCAGCCGCGTGGAAATGGAGTTGAGTCGACGGCGTTTGTAGTACCACCAGATCTTGGAAGCCTCCTCCTGGATTGGAGCGTGTTGAGGAAGCTGAGGAGAATGTTGAGCTTGAAGACATGGCACCTGGCCCGAGTGAAAGTGTCACTCAAGAACTTCTGCTACAAGCTAGGATGGCACTGATCGGGCTCCTGCCGAAATGGATCATGAGGCACCTGAGGCGGCTGGCGCCGCGCCAAGGAAGGGTGCTAGGATTGATCCTGATGCTCCAGGGAATAAGCCTTCCACGAAGCAAATGAAAATCTCTTCTTCTGTGCATCACATGGTTTTCCGGAGTGATTCCTGCTTGTAAGGGGATTGCCTCGATGCAAGCCAGGGAGTGTTTGTGAGGAGAGTGCGAAAGAAGAGCCGATTGCCTTCGTCGTGTTCCGCAGAACAAAGACTGCGGCAATGAGACGATGGACTGCTGGCGCAGCCAAAAATTGTGCTCGAATGAAGTTGGCGAGTTATGTTAATCGCCAACTCACTGACCATATCAGCACCCATGAGTGGGATGGCTGGGGTCCGAATGATTGGCGATGGACTGTGGAGCCACTGTCATTGAGCACAGTGCCGCCATCGTTCGAATGCCGATGACTGATCCAATGTGTCATCGCAGCCCCCAAACTGTTGCTGTCCTTGAATGAGATGATCGAATGGGGAATGCTGGCAACCGCCCGCGGAGAATGCCTCATCGAGTGGAGACTGACGGGACACGGAATGGTCCCGCTCAACCAAGCCGTCGGAGGTGGGCTGGAGTTCCCCCTGGAACGAGATTTATGAGAATGAAGAACATGAGGCCGCCAATGCTTGGAATGCTCCTTCCCAGGCGAAAGGCTCGACTGATCACCTTGCGGCGACCGCTCTCGCCCAGACTGCCAATGCTCTCGAGCCTGGCGCGGAGACTGTCCTGCGGAAGAAGGGCAAGGGCACTGTCAAGTGATCGCACTGAGCCCGGCGATGAATTTAGGAGTGCACGGCGACTGCAACTGTTTTGCAATGTGAAGTTTATGTTGAAACGTTGAATGGATTTCTTCTGTGGCTCGCTGAGAATGACATTCTCGGATTCAAGTTGAATGACGCATTAGCCGACTGTCTGCAAGTTTGCTTTGTGCAGTGCAAACTGGCCTCCGAATGCTTTTCACGAGGACTCGAATGTCATCCCGAGTCGAGCCAAAATGTCTGGAATGATGCCAATGAACCTTCGCAGCTTTGAGCTTTGAGTGCTTTTGTTTCGAATGTTTCTTGATCGCCTCGCGAATGCCACCGCATGTGCTCGTTCAATGTTTGAGTGATCCTGGACTGATGTCAGCATCAAGGGACTGTGTTAATTGAGACGAGCCAAATGATGCACCTAATGACCTCATGGTCATGATGCATTTATGAATGCTACGATGCCGAATGGCATTGGCTCAAGTCTGGACAGATTGGCTTGACGTCACAAATGCATTTATGAATGCTACGATGCCGAATGGCATTGGCTCAAGTCTGGACAGATTGGCTTGACGTCACAAAAAATGTCCGCTTGAGTGTGACGGTGGGAAAGTGATTGATCTTTTTTGCTGTCGGTATCCCTGGATTGCACTGTTGAATTTTGCACTCTCTCTGTCTTTCTCTGTCTCTCGCTCTCTCTCTGTCTCTCTCTGTCTGTCTTTGTCTCTGTTTCTCTCTCTCTCTCTCTCTCTCCCGCCCCGTCTCCCACCCTCCATGTCTCTCCGCAAAAATGCGATGTAGGGCTGTGCTCTTGTTGGTCTTCAGCAGGGAGCGATGCGACGAGCCGGCGCCACCGAAGGAGAGCTCGGAGAGACTTCCCCATCCTGATGGGGACCCTTTGAAAGGGAACCCCTTCAGAAACCTGTAAGTTAAGGAAAGGCTTCGTGAAGAATCCCGAAAGTTCGCTCCTTGCAGAACACAGCTTCATTCTTTGGATCAACCAACCTGCCTTCGTGGTTTTCAAGATGCATCCATGATGACTCCCTTGCCATGCCGACAGTGGCTTTGCCGGGAGAGAGTTTCTTGGCAACCTAGCCGTGAGCCGACGCGAAGCATTGCAAGATTTTGTCATTGGAGAGCTGTGCAGCTAGGGAGGAAGGCAAGGCGAAAGTCCCAAGCATCGGAATGCCAAGCGTTCCCGGATGCCCCTTCCGCCTCAGGACTCGCCTGAGGATCCGTTGAGAGCGCTCCATGCGCGGCCCGACGAGGCAATGCATTTCAGCCCAAGCTCCAGGTTCCTGGCTCTGAGACTCTACTGTGCAGGCACACGGGCGCGTGCAAGAGCTGCTGCAGCAGCGGCTCCAGCAGATTCTCCAACGAGGCCAGGGAGCAGGGAACGAACCCCGAATTTGGCACTTTCGGTGCTTTCGGTTTCGAGTCCGGCAGGGCAGCAAGAGCGCCTGGATGTGGCGAAGCTCCAGGAGCTCGGTCCTCGGCTGTGCACCCTCCTTGAATCTGCTGCGGTTCCTGCCTGGGCTCTGAAGTTTGGACCTGCACTGCCTGGCGGGGCAGAAGGCATGCTGTCCTCCTTCGCGACTGCGCCGGGGTAATGGCATGGCAGACTTTGGTGCTGCCTCCGTTCGCGAGCTGAACCGATGTCATCCTAGTCCTCTACCAGCCTTGCCTTGCGCACGGTATTCCAAGACGCGTCAAGACTGTAACTCACGCGACCCAATAGATTCTCTGAGCTAAGCTAACGCTTTCAAAACTCTCCCTCAACCTTCGACCCAGCGCTGGTCCCCGAACCCAGACGAGCACTTCTAGGCTGCAGCAGCTTCTTGTGGGCCTGGGGCAGTGCGCGGACACGCTGGCAACTCAGATGACTTTCCTGTCACCTCCCTCAGGTCCCGAAGCCCAAAGGACCCGTTTGCCAATGAATTGCTTTCCATGGATCCCGGCTCGGCCAGTTGCGGCTCACTGTTGCTTGGCTTGCCAGCACGAGCTCAAGCCTGTTTGCGGTGACGCAGGGCTGATGTACGCTGACATACCATAGCTCTAATCCTGCTTCATGGCAGGTGAAGGAAGTGAAGTGCAAAGCCGAGGCATGCCGTTCCGCAGTCGCCCCGTTGGTCGCAGCAGTCGCCGCGCTCGCCCATGTCACCCTCCCGCCAGGAGCGCCCAAACTTGTGAAGAGTTCTGTGCCGTTGCTTTTCTGAGGGTCTGGAGGATGAGCCCCCCAACTCAACAGACTCGAAGCGACGTCCGAGAATTCGCCTCTGCATGAGCAGGAGCCGCCCCCGGCGTGCCCTCAGCAGCCTTCGACGCCGCGGCCTGCGACGCCGCCTTCAGCTCCCCGCCACAATGGGCTGCCACTGCTGGTGCCCAGGCGATGGCTGTGGGATCGGTTGGGCCTGAGTTTGGTCGCAGACTGATGCCAGAGGATCTAGACCGAATCGACATCAGAACCAGCAGGGTCTCCACTGAGGATCTCGCCTGAACTGACACATCGCAGCAAAGAGCCGATGCGAGCATCGGGTTCCGTCATTCGGAAACGCACCGGAGACCGGATGTGAGAAATCCGCCGGCCTGCGAGCCATGCCAAGGGGCAATCCTAGGAGCCTTTGGCGGAAGCTTCCTTTGGGAAGCGCTTCCTTTCTCTTGCTGTCTTCTCTTGAATCTTTCTTGCTGTGTCTTCTCCGTGCCCAGGCAACAGGACCTTCCCCCGCGACATCCTCCGCACCTACAGGCCCTGCAATGCAGTGCGTGCAGTTGCCAGGTCCAAGAAGTTTGATCACAGGTAAAGGCGAAGTAGAGGTCACTCCAGAGTCGGACTCGAGAGCTTGGCAGGGCCCAGTCTCTCCCGCGGCCGCTTACGGGCCAACGCGGCACCGACAGGCGGGCTACTTCATCGACCAGACTTCTTTTGAAACGCCCTACACTTTGTGAACGCCTTGACGCTTTCCGTCCACCTGCCCCTTCAGGCCACTCCCCCCGCTGAACGCCCTTCAACGCCCTCGACGCCTCCGCGGGTGGCTGAAGTTAGACTCGTGTTTTTTGGAGCTCGGTTGTCTTTGGCATCACGCTTGAGGATGTTATGATAGCTGGGCTTCATTGGCTTCATGCGAGCCTAAGCCGTTCCACATCGTTCCACGCTCCGGTCAACTTGCTGCCTTTTGATGTAGCACCCGAGACGCAAATCCTCAGCCCGATATCCTGAAGCTGCGAGCCATTCAGCCGAAGCTTTCTTGGTAGTAAGAAGAAGCATGGCTTCACTGGTTTCACAATGACTCTAGCCACAGCGCTTCGTATTTCATAACCCCAAGAGCTCCGGAGAATCCTCGAGCGGAGGCACCAGGCCGTGATGCAAAGGTTTGCGTGGACGAGCTGGGTCCCACCGTGGGCCTGCAGCTTACGGATCCGAGGGCGTCTTCTGAGTAGAGGGCTTTGGAGTTGGACTGTAGCTGTGGTGCTACAGGAGGCTTAGTTTTGGCCGTGCTGATGCTAGCTGCTAGGTTTTGTTCCGGCTTGCCACGGTGATACAGTCTGAAGCCTCTTATCCCGCAGCTTGCGATCAACCCCCCCTTGGCTTCATGTAGCACTTGCGAGTTGAGCCGGTGGACCTGAAGGATCTTTGGAAATCCTTCAGGGCCCAGCCGGTGGACCTGAAGGATCTTTGGAAATCCTTCAGGGCACAGCCGGTGGACCTGAAGGATCTTTGGAAATCCTTCAGGGCCCAGCCGGTGGACCTGAAGGATCTTTGGAAATCCTTCAGGGCCCAGCCGGTGGACCTGAAGGATCTTTGGAAATCCTTCAGGGCCCAGCCGGTGGACCTGAAGGATCTTTAGAAATCCTTCAGGGCCCAGCCGGTGGACCTGAAGGATCTTTGGAAATCCTTCAGGGCTGGTGGACCTGAAGGATCTTTGGAAATCCTTCAGGGCCCAGCCGGTGGACCTGAAGGATCTTTGGAAATCCTTCAGGGCCCAGCCGGTGGACCTGAAGGATCTTTGGAAATCCTTCAGGGCCCAGCCGGTGGACCTGAAGGATCTTTGGAAATCCTTCAGGGCCCAGCCGGTGGACCTGAAGGATCTTTGGAAATCCTTCAGGGCCCAGCCGGTGGACCTGAAGGATCTTTGGAAATCCTTCAGGGCCCAGCCGGTGGACCTGAAGGATCTTTAGAAATCCTTCAGGGCCCAGCCGGTGGACCTGAAGGATCTTTGGAAATCCTTCAGGGCTGGTGGACCTGAAGGATCTTTGGAAATCCTTCAGGGCCCAGCCGGTGGACCTGAAGGATCTTTGGAAATCCTTCAGGGCCCAGCCGGTGGACCTGAAGGATCTTTGGAAATCCTTCAGGGCCCAGCCGGTGGACCTGAAGGATCTTTGGAAATCCTTCAGGGCCCAGCCGGTGGACCTGAAGGATCTTTGGAAATCCTTCAGGGCCCAGCCGGTGGACCTGAAGGATCTTTGGAAATCCTTCAGGGCCCAGCCGGTGGACCTGAAGGATCTTTGGGGGTACTGTAGGCAGCCACCGGGGATGGCAAGTCACGGTATCAGCTCCGAGCAACTCAAGTCAGTTCACATCGTCAGTGCCTCGTCGCGGTTGAGTCTGCGCTTTTTGCAAGAGGGCCGAGTCCTCTCACCAACTTTCCGCCCAGAATCTGGAACATTTCTGGAACTGGCCTACTGTTGAAGCTCCGCATCTGCAGAGGCTCCGAGGTGCCGCTTAAGGCTGCCGGCAGCGCCCACGCGGCGAGGGAGGACCACTGCACCCGGATCCGGATGCCGGAAGCGGACCTAGCCGGGAGCCGAGAGGAGCCTGCGCCGCCGCCTGCGCCGCCCGTGCCGACGCCCGTGCCAACGACGGCGGTCCGGGAGGAGATGCGCGAAGAGCCGTTGAGCACAGGGCAGATTGCTGCAGCGAGTTTGCCATCTCGCCTGCAGAGCCCAAAGCGCAGTCTGGGCTTTGCAGGAGACGTTGGCGCGGCCTCAGGCTGCTGAGGCTGGCGTCTTGAGCACTTCGCTTCGCTGTGCGGTGGCAGCCTGCAGCTCGCGCATTTCTTGGAGAAGAAAAACAGAGGAGAACAGACGACAACCGCAGGAGCACATGAGCTAGTGTACACACTCCACTCAGTATACAAAGTACATACACGCATGCCTGCATGCCTACATACAGCATACACGCACATGCTGCAGACACGATGTGCTGTCCTGCCTGATTGGCGTTCTGTCATTCGAAGCAAAGGCGCCGTCGCAAGTGGCGCCTGTGCCCGCTCAGCCTAACGTCAAGGCCACAAACATGTGTGCATCATGGGCTCCCTCCGTGGCAGCCGATTGGTTACCCATTGCTCTGACTAGAGCCGTACGCGCTCTCAGTGCAGGGGGGCGTATTCTGGTCCGTAGCGACTCCGTCGTGCTGGTACGCCCACAGTCGTAAAAAAGGCAGGCTTGCGTTCAAGCATCTTGTACGCTGTTGCTTCGTCACTCTTTGCACCCGTCGTCCCACTGCCGGTCTGTCTCGCATCCTCCGCTGCAGCCCTCCTGCCTCCTCTCCTGACTCCTTGCCCCTGCCACGCCCCCCTCCCCCCCTCCCAAATGTCACCTAACGCGCGCTTTTGTGGTAGCTAGCTAGTGCCCAGTCGTCAGGTATCGTTCCAGACTCATCTCGCAATTGTGTAACTTGGCTTGTTTAGTTACTCGCCCTCTCGAACCCCTCGCGGAGAGCAGCGATGACATCGGAGCTGCTCTGAGATGCTTGGGGGGGTTGACGGCCGCAGTAATGCCTGTGGGCCAATTTCCTCGTCCCCCTCCTCATGTTTACATGCAGAAGATATCTCGCACTTGTGAGCCCCAGGACGCGGACACACGTCGTGATGGCAGCCAGGATAATTCTTGTGCCCGACTCGCCCGCCCCACTCTCGATTGAACTTTGCTCGGGAAGCTAGGGTGCTTGAGTTTGTCAGGAGGACCCTCTGCTTGCACCAGAGAGCTCCAAGTTTGAAGTCTGCAACGAGTTGCAGAGCGATGCGTCGTGGCCAGTGCATGCAGGCGCCAACGACGGCTCCTTCGCCAGAGGCATCACGCAACGAGATTCAGGCCGTTCGCTGCAGAGGGTGCAGGGATCTGGTGATGCTGAGCATCCTGCATGGCCTTCGCGAAGAAGTCTACACCACAGTCACACTATATAGTCACTAGACTCCAGTCATGGCGGTCACGTCACCGCGTTCCGCCTTCTTTTTGGCCCCAAAGTTTCTTCTTTTTTGAGGCCACGGCCACGGCCGGAGAAGCGCCGCCCGCGGCAACAGCGGCCACCACCCCCCCGGCGCCTGCGGCGCCCGCGGCAGAAGGTCGCATCCATGTCGCGCAAAAGAGAACTTCAGAGATCTCTGAACTTCCGAACTTCCGTCTTCTGTGGCTTCGTCGGATTCCTTCGTCGTATTCAAGTTCAACTCGATCGGCTCGCAAGCTCTTACAATCTTTTCATGCATTCTCCTAAGCTGCAGGCATGACTAGCAGCAAGATGCCATGCCTCGCACTGCAAAGGAGGCAAACCACGAACGGCTGCAGGCCGAACGAGAAACGTTTGTCGTCGTAAGGCTGGAAAGGGAGCAGCCTCGGGTCGGGAGGCCCAAGAAATCAACTCAACTTCAACCGACTGGATCCGGCGGCAGATGCTTTCACGCCGTCGTCTTCGGAGCTTCTCCCATTTAAAACTCTGGTGCAGTCCGTCACTCCAGGCGACGCGGCAAGCGGCTGGGACTCTGACGATGACGACGACTGGCGCGGAACGTGGCCCGGCTGTCAAACTTGGGCTTCAGACCACCAGCCTTGTCGTCTTTTCTTTGTTTCTACCTCCTTGGCTTGGTTTTTTAGCATACTCGTGCAGCACACCCGCGGTAATAGTCGTAACTGTGTGGCCAATGTAGACAGACGTGCGCACACATAACTTGGAGTTGGCCCCGTGGCCGTGATGTCTTTCTCGTGATCCTGTGGCGGTGTCTACGATTCAACTTTTCCTTCTTACTGATCCACATCGCAGGGTTGTTTGAAGTGCAGGGTGCATGCAAGCAAGGTGCTGGTAGTCCCGATCTGAACCATCCCCGCCTCGGCTTGTTACATCCCAGGATCCTGTCAGCATCCTTTCGTTTAAAAAATCTCCCTGCAACCCAGACCCAGATCCCTGAAAGGACAGGCAGGACTCCTGTCTGAAGCCATAGAGGACGGTGGGTGACTTTTGTGGTGGAGCTTCCTTTTTGCATTTTTGAGGGCCTTGGGGAAGTATTGGCTGACCCGCGGCCGTTGCAGTCCTAGGCAGGCAGCTGGAAGCCCTCCGCAGGTCGCGTCGGTCGCAATTGAGCTTTGCGGTGATGGCTTCAGCTTTAGGGTTTGATGGGTTCGGACGTTTCGCAGAGTCTACTTTGGGGCATTCAAGATCTGGGCACAGACATAGGATTTTGCGTAGATTTCCTGAGTGGATGAGGTCGCTTAGAGTCAGCCGCAATGCAAATTCGTTTTATGGTCCCAGGCGACGGAAACTCCGGTTGCCGACACGGCTGCCAAGCCGGAGGCCAGAAAGCGGCTGAAACGACGGCATGGCCGACGGATCTTGATGCAGGCATCCACTTCAGCGGTCGCCACGCCACTAGCAGCGGCGCCCCGCGCCCGGGCCTCGCTACGAGCATGCTGGAAGATGCGAGGGAGAGAGGTACTCACGGCCGCCCCGCGCATTTCTGCATGAACTTCTGAGGCCCCCCCCACCTTCCCCAGTTTCATTGCAGCTTTCTGCAATCCACGGCA